TTTTACTGTTGTGGGTTTAGTAACACTTGAAAACCCAACTCAACTGTCCCCTTCCAGCATGCTGCACAAAAGGACCCCTGTGCTCTGTGTGGAGGCAGTGGTCTCTCTGCTGAATTAGCTCTATAGCTTGCAAGAAAAAGTATGTGAACCCCTTGGGATTACGTGGAGTTTTGCATGAATTGGGCAGAAAATGTGCTCTGAACGTCATCTAAGTCACAACAATAGAAGAACACAGTCTGCTGAACATAATACTACACAAACATTAGATGTTGCCATGGTTTAATTGCACATGTAAACATTCACAGTGCAGGGAGGAAAAAGTATGTGAGGCCCTAGCTTAATGACTTCTCCCAGAGCTAACTGGAGCCAGGAGTGAGCCAACCTTGACTCCAATCAGTGTGATGATATTGGATGTGTTGCTGACAGCTGTCCTGCCCTTAAAAAACACACACCTGTTTTGGGTTTACTGGTTTCAAGAAGCACTGTCTGATGTGAACCATGCCTCGCAGAAAAGAGCTCTCAGAAGACCTACGATCAAGAATTGTTGACTTGCATGAAGCTGGAAAGGGTTACAAAAGTATCTCCAAAAGCCTTGATGTTCATGTGTCCACGGTAAGACAGACTGTCTACAAATGGAGAAAGTTTAGCACTGTTGCTACTCTCCCTAGGTGTGGTCATCCTGTAAAAATGACTGCAAGAGCACAGCGCAGAATGCTGCATGAGGTAAAGAAGAATCCCAGAGTGTCATCTAAAGACCTACAGAAATCTCTGGCACATGCTAACATTTTTGTTGACACATCTACAATAAGGAAAACATTAAACAAGAATGGAGTACTGTCAGGGCAGGGCTTTGGAACGGACAGGTAGGCCTAGTGGCAGGGTAACGCACTGACTGACGACAACCACCACCAACAGACCGAAGTCCCGCAGGGCGCAGAGTCTAAGTCCCAGGCTGCCCTTCACCAGGGCCCCTGATGGTGGGGATGGACTTGACGCAGCCAGGAACCAGGTCGCGGCCCCCGAGACACCCCGGCTGCGGTAATGGCCGCCGCCAATGGCGTAGCTGTTAGGAATGACAATAGCGTAGTCAGGCAGGCCGGGTCGACAACAACGGGACAAAACGGTACAGAACAGTAGGCGAGAATCACAGGTCACGGGCCGGGTTCAGCAACGGAAGGTCAGATCAAAGGAAAACACAGAGAATGGTCTAGTCACAAGCCGAGTCAGATTCCAGAAGAGTCACAAGAGTATAAACAGAGCTGTAGCTACACAAAGACACAAGACACAAGTGCAAAGAGCATGTGCGGATCACAGGCTTATATGTGCTCAGCCACACCCCTCTGGGGGATGGGCCTCAGAGACCTGAAGGCATAAAAGACTCCCACCATGCTCTGCAGAAACCCAAGATGGACGCCAGCACATGAAGCCGCACAATCTCCGGGAAAAGGTAGGACCTTGACAAGTACATGGGAGGACACCACGGAGGAAGCCATTGCTGTCCAAAAAGAATATTGCAGCACGTTTGAAGTTTGCAAAAGAGCACCTGGATGTTCCACAGCACTACTGGCAAAATATACTGTGGACAGATGAAACCAAGATTGAGTTGTTTGGGAAGAACACACAACACTATGTGTGGAGAAAAAAAGGCACAGCACACCGACATCAAAACCTCATCCCCACTGTAAAACATGGCGGAGGGAGCATCATGGTTTGGGCTGCTTTGCTGCCTCAGGGCCTGGACGGATTGTTGTCATTGATGGGAAAATGAATTCCAGAGTTTATCAAGACATTTTGCAGGAAAACGTACGACCATCTGTCCGCCAACTGAAGCTCCGCAGAGGATGGGAGATGCAACAGGACAATGACCCAAAGCATACAAGTAATTCAACAAAACAATGGCTGCAACAGCACAGAATACGCCTTCTGGAGTGGCCCAGTCAGAGTCCTGACCTCAACCCGATTGAAATGCTGTGGCATGACCTTAAGAGAGCGATTCACACCAGACATCCCAAGAATATTGCTACACTGAAACAGTTTTGTGAAGAGGAGTGGTCCAAAATTACTCCAGATCGTTATGCAGGTCTGATCTGCAACTACAGGAAACGTTTGGTTGAGGTTATTGCTGCCAAAGGAGGGTCAACCAGTTATTAAGTCTAAAGGTTCACATACTTTTTCCTCCCTGCACTGTGAATGTTTGCATGTTATGTGCAATAAACCATGGCAACATCTAATGTTTGTGTAGTATTATGTTCAGCAGACTGTGTTCTTCTATTGTTGTGACTTAGATGACGTTCAGAGCACATTTTATGCCCAATTCATGCAAAACTCCACGTAATCCCAAGGGGTTCACATATTTTTTTTCTTGCAACTGTATTTTGGGTTGTTCTTTGGTGGTAGGTTATGGTAGCAGCAATTAATACACAGCTAAATTTAAAAAAATATAATCTGGGACAGTTTTCCTTTGATAGTAAAACAAAAAAAAATCAGGATATATCTGTCACCATTTACCACCAAAAGAAAGCTCAATTTGTCCTGAAAAAAACAAGGTATAATCCATCTGAATACACAAAGTTGTTGTGGTGATATGTACAGTTTTATCAACATATGCCAAAGTTGCAAAATTGTGTCTAGGCATTAACATTTGTTTTACCCTTAGGTGGGAAGGGGCTGTTAAAGTTGGATGTGATCTGACTTTATCGGTGTGTGCCTTTCTGCTCTCCTATGATGCCAAACATACCAAAAAAATACACTGCTCAAAAAAATTAAAGGAACACTTTTTAATCAGAGTATAACATCAAGTCAATGAAACTCCTGGGATATTGATCTGGTCAGTTCAGTACAGTAGTAGAGGGGGTTGTTAATCAGTTTCAGCTGCTTTGGTGTTAATGAAATTAACAACAGGTGCACTAGATAGAAAACAATGAGACGACCCCTAAAACAGGAATGGTTTTACAGGTGGAGGACACTGAAATTTTTTTCCCTACCCAACTTTTTTGACTGTTTTTCACTAGTTTTGCATTTGGCTAGGGTCAGTTTCACTACTGGTAGCATGAGGCGATACCTGGACCCTACAAAGGTTGCACAGGCAGTCCAACTCCTCCAGGATGGCATATCAATACGTGCCATTGCCAGAAGGTTTGCTGTGTCTCTCAGCACAGTCTCAAGAGCATGGAGGAGATTCTAGGAGATAGGCAGTTACTCTAGGGGAGCTGGACAGGGCCATAAAAAGTCCTTAACAAACTAGCAAGACCGGTATCTGCTCCTTTGTGCAAGGAGGAACAGGATGAGCACTGCCAAAGCCCTACAAAATGACCTCCAGCAGGCCACTGGTGTGAATATCTCTGACCAAACTATGAGAAACAGACTTCATGAGGGTGGCCTGAGGTCCTCTAGTGGGCCCTGTGCTCACTGCCTGGTACCACAGAGCTCAATTGGCATTTGCCATTGAACATCAAAATTGGCAGGTCTGCCACTGGCGCCCTGGGCTTTTCACAGATGAGAGCAGGTTCACCCTAAGCACATGTGACAGATGTGAAAGGGTCTGGAGAAGCCGCGGAGAACGTTATGCTACCTTTAACATCGCTCAGCATGACCGTTTTGGTGGTGGGTCAGTGATGGTCTGGGTAGGCATATCCATGGAGGGATGCACAGACGTTAACAGGCTAGACAATGCACCCTGACTGCCATTTGGTATCGGAATGAAATCCTTGGACCCATTGTCAGACCCTACCCTGGTGCAGTGGATCCTGGGTTCCTCCTGGTCACAATAATGCCCAGCCTCATGTGGTGAAAGTTTGCAGGCAGTTCCTGGAGGATGAAGGAATTGATACCTTTGAATGGACTCCACGCGCGCCTTACCTAAATCTAATAGAACACCTCTGGGATATCATGTTTTGGTCCATCCGACCACGCCAGCTTGCACCTCAGACTGTCCAGGAGCTCAGTGATGTCCTGGTCCAGATCTGGGAGGAAAATACCCCAGGATACCATCCGTTGTCTCATTAGGAGCATGCCCCGATGTTGTCAGGCATGCATACAAGCACGTGGGGGCCATACAAACTACTGAGTACCATTTGGAGTTGCTGCAATGAAATTTCAGCAAAATGGACTGGCCTGCTGCATCATTTTTTCACTTTGATTTTCGGGGTCTTTGAATTCAGTCCTCTGTAGGTTGATAATGTTCATTTCCATCAAACGATGAGGCATCCTGACGTTCCGAACACATTACCCAGTGCATATCAGTATAGATATCCAGCATGATATTTTTGCCCATTAAGATCTGATGTGTTTTCAAAGTGTTCCTATAATTTTTTGAGCACTGTACGTTCTGTGTACACATTGAAGCAATTCACAGAACTCCTCTCCTTCTGACTTCTTAATGAATGGATCTATGATCTGACAAGCAGCTGAGATGCCAAACAGACCATTAAAGAATATCCAACATTTCATATACCTGAGATGTGCCTGCTGTACCACGTACTTGTTTGAAAAAGTATCCTGTTCTCTTTGTATTGCTTCCTTTCTGTGAAATCCCTGGTGTTCCTGCCAGTCTCTCTGCTTTCCTATTAAAACTGACCACACTAGGCATGAGAGCATAGCATGGTCAGTTATCTAGCTGTGCTGGGAACTCAGCCTGTTCTCCTCCAATGATCAGACTTGTCCTGACACACCTCCCTGCATAGCCATTTATTGGGAAGACTAGTGTCCTGCTGTTTCTCCTCCCCCAGCTCTCTGATCTCCTTATACAGTTGAGGACAGAGGGGATGTGACCATTTAGAAAAAAGGGGAAAATGGTAAACACAAATATTTTACCTTTCATTTCTATTTTAAATGGAATGGGTTGTTTTACAAGGTGAAGGTTTACATATGCTTTAAATAGCATATTTCTGGGAAGAGATCCTGACACTTACCACTCCGGAAGCTCTGACCAGAGGAGCGTCCAGGTCTGGAAAGACGTTATCTAAGTACCACTTGAAGCTTTTGCACTGCAGATTCTTCCTGAGTTCTTTTTGCTGGGTCAGGTCCCCGATGTTGTTAATCTCTTTCAGAAGGTGGTATCCATGACCATAAAAAATCTCCTTGTACTCATCCAGCCAGACTTCGGCAACACGGGCCAAGTTCCTCTCTACCGTTTTTACCCGGTCCTTGGGGAATGAGTATGGGTTGTCATTTCTGAAGATATGGCCGACTCTGGAACAGGGGATAATCTCAATCTCTCCACCGCACATCCAGATCTAAGAAGGAAAGTGAACAAGGTAAATTACCTGAAGTAGTAAAACAAAAAAAATGTATTTAGTGTGGAATGTCAGCTACTTTTTTTAGTTTTCATAAAATGGAGATGAATAACTTCTGATTTTTCACTGGTCAAAAAAGCAGGAGGAAATTTGTCAATGGGGACACAGCAATAAAAGCTTTTTTTTTAGTGGAGTAGGGAAACGTTCTAATCCTTGTAAAGTTTTTATGGCTCTCCGAAATTTTATCATCTTCTGTATAGATATGGACACATAATCAGGAAAAAATTCATCACTGGGGAGAGGTACAGTAAAAATTTGATTGAGAAGTGGTGCTTGGAACAAGGGTAATTGGTGATACAGATCTGGCAAAGGTCAATCTTATTCAATTTTGTAAACCAAAATGGTCCTGGCAAGGCTGCTCCTGCCAAACATGGTGTCCTTAACTGGGGTTCCTGGAGTGACCATCCAAGAAATAGAAGCTGCATAAAGATCGCCAGACAAAAATGAGTACAAGAACAGTTTAAGGCACGGGTGTCAAATTGGAGGCCCTCCAGCTGTTGCCAAACTACAAGTCCCATGAGGCATTGTAAGATTGACAGTTACAAGCATGACTCCCAAAGGCAGAGGCATGATGGGACTTGTAGTTTTGTAACAGCTGGAGGGCCGACAATTTGACACCCCTGCTTTAAGGGCTCACATACTCCAACAGTTTGGTCCATACAATGTAAATTACCAGCGTTTTAGGCACCCAGAAAGCACAGGTGCGGTATACATCCAGCTGCCATAAGCCTGTCAAAATCTATGGGGAGTGGCTGGATGCTGTACCAGGCAGTACTTGCATTTAAGGACATATGTGACAAACATGAAATTCCTGTGGCATACATCTCTGAAATGCAAGGGCCAAACTGCCTGTGTGTATTAGCCCTAATCACTCATCAGATAATTTATACAACAGCCAACACATTACAGGGGTCTGAACATCCCATTTTCATCAGAGCTTAGATACTAAATACAAACATGAACTGGTGACTTGAAAGAACTCAAAGTAGCAAAATGAGTTATGTGAAAAAAGATAAAATCTTTGCGCTTAGCCCAATATTGTATATAATGAAAAAGTGAACGATCTCCAATCCCAGAGGACGCCATTTTTGGGGAATCGTGTTAGGCGCAGTCTTTCTGTGACGTCACCACGCATGAGCCGATGGATTGACACCACGGCTGATTAGTCATGTGTTTTTCCATTGCTCTCTTTAATTCATGCAAATGTAAGTGCAATACTTACCATAAGTTATAAATAAACATTTGTTTTTAACAGGAATGCACTATGAAGTATTTTCTTGTTTAAACCCTTCCATACATTACTGCAGAGAGCGGTATGAAGTGGTTGAGCTGGTTCCTGGTGTGAACACGCAGTGATCCATCCATCCTCCCTGGATCTGTCAGTGAGACTGTCAGTGTGGAGTTTAGACACTAACCGCTCATTTGATCTCTATAGCTTGAGATTAATTTGGTTCGGTAAGTGGGTTACCTGTTTTTCTGAGGAGCATCTTTTGAGCACAGCAGAACTTTATTGGAATATTGATTTGGCATGCAACACTTTTTTGCTCACGTTGGGTTGGGGACTTATTTATATGTGTTTATTTTGCTCTACATCGCACTGTATATGAAATATTATTTGGTGGTATATGTATTTTAGGTTGCACAGTTTTGTATTTCATATAGATTAATCATTGTTTGAGGATATAGGAATTCTTAGTTTGCACATATTCCTTTATTCATTTATCACATTTAAAGTGAACAGTGCTCTTTTTTGTGTAGCAAAATGAGTTGATTGAATTTTTATACAATAACAAACTGTACAAGATAAAGCTGTATGCTAGCATAATTAATTTGGACACTTTGTTATCCACACTAATTTTATATGAAATAAATCAAGTCATTTTGAAATTAGACAATCCAAACCAAATGGCACCATTCAAAACACAAAGCCTTTCATCCACTGTGGCTACGATGGCGTCACAGACAGATGTTCTGCCACTTCCCACTTCTTGTCAAAACTAAAGAAAAATGTTCCAGATACACACTAGATCTCTATTTTATGCAAGTTACCTAAGCAACCATGTTAAAGTTGTGTTTTAGAAATGTATTGACATCTCCATGAACTGAAAAACAGATCTGTCACGATGCAAGAAAGTACACTTAACTCAAGCAAAAAGAAAAAAGAATGATAGAGTTTAACCCCTTTATGACCACCCAACATGTATATGTAGCAGCAAAAAGGTAGACTTTAATGCTCACACAATGTACTTATGCATCATTTCTGACAGTGCTCTCACTGCTTGCTCCTAGCAGACAGACCGAGCTGTCCAAAACAGCTCTTGGTCCGGACTACAGATCTGTAGTCAGCAGGATCAGTTTATGCTCATGTGACCACTGTCACAGTGGTCACATGATTGCCAATCCTTTCCACCCCTCAGGCATTCAGAACTGTTTAAAGGGAGGCCAGAGCAGTCGAAAAGGGGTTAAAGTGCCTGTCCAGGCATAATAAAAAAACACATTCTGTATATGCCCTCAATATATTCACATTTCTCCATGTTTTATTTCTTCACAAATGCAAAGTGCATAAAATACCTCTCGAACTCCCAGAAATGTAGCGAGCTCCTAAATTCCTATTTGATCTGACAACACAGTGCCTCTGATGCACTGAAATCCCAAACAGTGTTGTCAGCCCTGTCCAGCTCTCCACTCTTTCTCCATTATCCTATTAAATAAGGGGGAGGTCTGTAATCCAGCCAGGGAAGCTTGAGAAAGTCTGTTTGGGATTTAAAGTGGTTGTAAACCTCAGACATGAAATATGAACAAAGTATATCTCTCTATGGTGTGTGTGATTGTCCTAATCCAGAGCACTAAGTGTCGTTCCCTCTGCCGCTTCATTGCTCTGGTATCAGTATGAGTAATGTCCGATGAGTTTTCCTGACACTAAGAGAAAAATGGTGACAGGACACAGCCTGTGATTGACAGCCTTAGCTCTGTTCCTGGGTGCTGTGTGAAGGGGGGTGTGTCCCTTCCCTCCAATCATCTCTCAGAACTCTCCTCACTGAGTGTAACTTTAGATCCCTGCCCCCTGCTTTTCAGAGTAGAGAGATCTTGTGTAAATTCTACACTTTGATTGGATGTAGGAGAGAGATGGCTATAAACAGGTACAACTTATACAGGAGGATTTGTTCAATGTGTATCACCTGCCAGCAGTCACTTCACTGGGTACATGTAAGGGATTACAAGCACTTTAGGTGCAACAAAAGCAGAGTGTAGAGAATGTTAGGAGCTCCCTGGATTTCTGGCCGGGTCAACAGGTATTTTACTGTACTTACAGCATTTTTAATGGGATAAAACATGGGGATAAGCCTGTGTATTGCAGAGATGTACTGAATATGTTTTTATTATTTTTATGGAAACGTTTGGTCTGCTATTGCCTTGTGTTGCATGATACACAGACATACAAATATTGATGGATACCTTAAATGATATTTCCATGTTTTCTCCTCCCCATACATCCAGTCCTGGGTCATAGGTACCAAGCTCATAGAAGTATTTCTTATCAATGGAAAACAATCCTCCAGCCATAACTGGACACCTGAAATAGCAGTTAAAATATAGAAACATAGTACTGATCAAAGGAAAAGTTAGAAACACGAATGTCACTATCTTGTAGGACATGCTTTCATAAAGTATTCAGACCCCCTGCACTTTTTTTCAATTTTGTTACGTTGCAGCCTGATACTACAGTTGTTTAGATCAGGGGTAGGCAACCTGCGGCTCTCTAGCTGTTGTGGAACTACATTTCCCATGAGGCATTGCAACATTACAAAACGGACAGTTACAGCTATGACTTGCAGAGGCATGATGGAACTTGTAGTCCTGACTTGCAGAGGCATGATGGAACTTGTAGTCCTGCAACAGCTGGAGAGCCGCAGGTTGCCTACCCCTGGTTTAGATTAAATTGTTTTTGCTTTTTTGCAAACTCTAAGCGGTCTTTCATGTGTTTTGCACTGAGGAGAGGCTTCTGTCTAGCCACTCTTTTATAAAGCCCAGATTGGCGGAGGGCTGCAGTGATGGTTGTCCTTCTGAAACTTTGTCCCAACTCCACACAGGATCTCTGGAGCTCAGTAAGAGTAGCCATCGGGTTCTTGGTCACCTCTCTTAATAAGGCCCTTCTCTGCCGACTGCTCAGTTTGGCTGGGTGACCACCTCTTGGAAGAGTCCTGGTTGTGCCAAACTTCTTCCATTTGAGAATTATGGAGGCCATTGTGCTCTTGGGGACCTTCAGCACAGCAGACAGTATTTGCAGCCTTCCCCAGATCTGTGCTATTCAATAATCCTGTCTCTGAGCTCTGCAGGCAGTTCCTTTGACCTCAAGGCTTTTGCTCTGATACAGTATGCATTGTCAGCTGTGAGCCCTTCATAGAAAGGTGTTTGCCTTTCCAAATCATGTCCAATCAATTTAATTTATCACAGGTGGACTCCAATCAAGGTGTAGAAACATCTCAGCAACGATCAAGAGAGAGGGAGGCACCTGAGCTAAATTTCAGGTGTTGTTGCAAAGGATCTGAATTCTTATGTCGATTTGACATTTCAGTTTTAACTTTTTCATAAATTTTCAAACATTTCTAAAATTCTGTTTTCACCTTGTCATTATGGAGTACTGAGTGTAGATTCATTAGAAAAAGATGACTTTAAACAACTGTCATATCAGGCTGCAACGGAACAAAATTAAAGAGAAAGTGAAGGGGGTCTGAATTCTTTATGAATGCACTGAATTTGGACAGATCTGGAAAAGTGATTCTGTGGGGTTGATTCTAAAGGCAAATAGGTTGTTCACTTTGTAGGGGTAGTTTCACTTTGCAAGGGAATTTTGTCTAGAGCTTATTGAAAGTGGTGAAATGTAACTTTAAAAAAATACTCAATCACATGCAAAGGAAAAAAAAAACAGCTTTTTTGCTTTCACATGATGGGATGATGAAAGTCAACAGATCCTCACCTCATTCACTAAGCTCTGGTACAAATCCCCTTGTAAAGTGAACAGCCTATTTGCCTTTAGTAAATCAACCTGATCTGGTTTAGGTGTACTGATAATGCATCTTAAGACCTTATTGATGAAAGACAGCTTATGGTCAATTATTATAAACTGGACAGGGTGACTACCCATTATAAACTGGACAGGGTAACTACCCAACCACCCATCTCCTGCTTAATGCTTATATTGAGCCAGTGGTGTAACTAGAACCTTCACAGCACCGGTGCAAGAAACCATGAAGAGCCCCTTTGACCCCTGACCTGGGTCCTTCCCTCTGTGCCCAGTGGCAGAATGCTAGGGCCCGGTTGCAAATCCGACCTTTGTAACCCTGGTAGTTCCGACGCTGGTGTCAGTAGTTTTTTATGTTTGTTATTTAATTTTTTTTCTTTACCTTTTTTAATTTTTTTTTTACAAAATTATTTTTACATTATTTTTGACAATTTTACAATTTTTTTAGGAGCCCTGTTGGAGGGTTTTGGTGAAATATCAGGGGTCTAAACAGACCTCTGCTGTTCCACCTTCGGGACAAAGAAAGGAGTTTGAGACACAGCCCTCAATCTCCATCTGTGCAGCCTCAGCTGCACAGAATGAATGGACAGAAATAGCTCTGTACAGAGCTTCCCCTCCATTCAAAAACTGAAACATAGTAAACACACTTTACTATGTTTCAGTTATGAATGGACAAGAGTCAGTGATCACTGACTGACCATTTAGGAATAGGCCAGTAAATCTCACATTTACTGGCCCTTTTCCTGCTCTCCCTCCTTATAGATCCCCCCAGCACAGCAGCTGGTGGCAGAGGGGAGGGGGGGACCCAGCAGAGATGTGGGGGGGGGGGCTAGGAAAGAGCACAGTGGGGGCCTAAGAGCCTGGGGGCCTTAGAGCATGGGGGGGGGGAGGAGGGGCGGAGAGCACAGGGGCCAGAGAGCATGGGGGCCAGAGAGCACGGGGGGGCAGCGGCATATAGAGGAATCAATCTCTCTATGTTCCTCCTGAAAGCCTCTGAATACCTGCAGGAGTGAGAGGAGGAGAAGCCAGCTATCAGGGGCTCCAGGAGGAACATAGAGAGATCGATTCCTCTATCTGCAGCTGCCCTCACCACTCCTCCTATCCAGGAGTACTCCCTGCAGCATGAGGCTGGGTTGCGATTGCTACCCTTGCGACTCCTGTAGGTACGATCCTGTGTTGAGCAGACTGTCTAAGGGGGCGATTTACCAAAACTGGAGCATTCAGAATCTGGTGCAGCTGTGCATGGTAGCCAATCAGATTCTAACTTCAGCTTGTTCAATTAAGATCTGCACCAGATTTTGCACTCTCCTGTTTTAGTAAATAAATAACTGTACAACAAGAGCAGGAGGAAAATGCATCTGTAAACCCATCGTGTGTTAAAAGACTTTTTGTATAGATAGCAGATTTTGAACATAGAGAACATTAATCTGTTATCGGCAGAGATTTGAAAATGACAGAAAATGAAAATAAATGTGGGGCTAGCACTTTAACTCCATGGACTGCTATATCATCTAGAGCTAGAGATGATGAGAAGGAATCCAATTCTAGAAAGACTAGACAAGCTTACTTTATTGGGTCCATCTCTGTAATTTTTTTCTCCTGAATAACTGCGGTAGGGATTGGTTTCCAGCCAAAGTTCATCGGCCATGAAAAGACACCTCGCTGAAAATTGTCCACGGACATGTAGCTGGAATATAAAGACAAAAATATTCAGATCATCATGACCTTGGCATTTTTTTTGCTACAGATGTAAGACAAATTTACTGTACATGTATGTCACTGTGCATGGGAATACTAGAGAATACCTTTTCAAGCTATGTTTTATTGTGCCATTGTTCCAAAATGAATGCAGAACCAGTTAGAATCCACTCAGCTCTGATGATTTAGAAACCAAATGAACTACCTTAAACTGAAACTCTAATTCAGGTTTTTTTATCACAATTTATGGCAGATTACTTTCTTCTACATTGGATTTAGGCCAAGATCATACCATTGTGTTGAGTTAGAACTCGTTAAAGTGATTCTAAACCCTTATATATACCCAGTGAAGTGACTGGTCTACGGTGATACACAGAGATGAAACAAATCCTACAACACAGGTTGTACATGTTTTCTGCAATCTTTAATTCCCTTCACCCATTCAAAATCCAGAATTCATAAAGCTTGTTTGAGCATGAGAACAAATGGGGTGGAGAGCTGAAATTACACTCTGCAGAGCTCAGTGAGAACTCTGACAGCTGATTGGAGGCAAGGGACACACCCCCTGCACAAAGCACACTGCTGATGCTGTCAATCTGCTGAAGGTCCCTCCCCTGTCACCTTTTATTCTCTTGGTGTCAGGAAAACCTGTCAGAAGGTTTTCATACTGATAGCAGAGCAATGAAGAGGCAGACAGATATGCAGTTGTGTGCATTAAAGCTAAATTTGTGAATCCGGTCTTAAACTTTTCTGACACTCTACACGAAAAATTCTAAGATAAGCTTCCTGGTCATAGCAGCTTGCAGTTAGCACTTACATGTGTTATTGTGGCGTATTCCATTAAAGTATAACTAAGGGCATTTTTTTTTTAAATTGTGGACAGAGTGGAGAGGGATTAGAACACTGGTTAGGTTCTTATTGCTGTTTGTGCATTGGGAAGATTTGTCCTATCTGTCCGGTTTACTGTTATCATTGAAAGTGAAAGAAATTCCCAAATTTTGGGTTGTCCCCAGAACAGTAATACAAGGGAATCTTCCAATGGGGACACTAGTTCTGGTGACAACAACAAAGGGTTTCCTCACTTTTGGAGGAATATCTTCGCTTTTCCTGTTTTGGCTATGGGACAGGAAGTGAAGGAAAAAATCTCCCCAATGGGACAAAGATGGCAAAAAAAAACAGGGGTTATAACCCTCTCGTACTCTATCCAGGATAAAAAGAAAAATATTGTGCATTGTGTCCCTCGGACACAGCGGATCACCGATCAACGTAAAGAACCAAAGATGTTGGCTCGGTCATGTGATCAGCTGTGTCCAATCACAGCTGATCGCATGTAAATAGGGAAATGCCGGTTATCTGCATTTCTCTCCTCAAGAGCTGTCACGCTGACAGCTCGTGAGGAGTGGAGAGCCAGTAATCGGCATCCCTCAAAGGGGACATGTACACTGATCATCAGGGCACTGATGATCAGTGTAGCCCCAGCAGTGCCACCTGTCAGTGTTCATCAGTGTCAGCTGTCAGTGCTCATCAAAGCCACCTGCCAGTGCAAATCAGTGCCACATCAATGCCACATATCAGTGCCTACCAGTGCACATCAATGCCACATATCAATGCCCATCTGAGCTGCCTTTCAGTGTCACCTATCAGTGCCAGTCAGTGCCACCTATCAATGCCAGTCAGTGCCACCTATCAGTGCTGCCAATCAGTGCCAGTCAATGCTGCCTATCAGTGTCAGTCAGTGCCACCTATCAGTGCGTATCAGTGCCACCTAACAGTGCCCCCTATGAGTGCCAGTCAGTGCTGCCTATCAGTGCTGCCTATCAGTGCCATATATGACTGTTGTCTTTCAGTGCCCATCAGTGATGCCTGTCAATGCCCATCAGTGCCACCTACCAGTGCCCCCTCATCAGTGCCCTTCAGTGCCACCTATCAGTGCCCATCAGTGCAGCCTATCAGTGCCCATCACTGCAGACTCATTAGCAAACATCAGTGAAGGAGAAAAATCACTTGTTTACAAAATGTTATAACAAACACTAGAAAAAAGTTTTTTTTTTCAAAATTTTCAGTTGTTTTTGGTTTGTGAAGCAAAAAATAGAAAAACCATAGGTGATTAAATATCACCAAAAGAAAGCTCTATCTGTCTCAAAAAAATTATACAAATATCATATGGGTACAGTGTTGCATGACCGCGCAATTGTCATTCAAATTGCAACAGTGCTGAAAGCTGAAAATTGGCCTGGGCAGGAAGGGGGTATAAGTGCCCGGTAGGCAAGTGGTTAAACTCCGATGTGTGCATGGACACATAGGCTAACATAGAGGAAAGTTTAGGGGAAGAAAATAAAAAAACATCAAATGCCTGTAAAACAGACGTTTATAAGCTGAAGTGTGTATAAAGCCTAAAACCTATCTTTAATGGAGCTTCAGAAAAACAACAACCTTGCATGAATATGCGGAAGGGCAAGCAGAAAATGTCTGACTTACAAACTTCTGTGGAAAAAAAGCACATCGAACAACCTGTACACATAAACCATAATTATCTGGAATAGAAAAAACAAGCCAGCAGCTTACCTCATGTCCTTATCGCTAATCACTTCAATTACTGGGCAAGCGACTTTTCGTCTGTTTACTCGAACTTGTTCCAGGAGAGGCTCCAGCCATCCTACGTTACATTCGACGTGTGAGTCAAGGAAAGTCAAAACATCCCCTGCAAGAGTGAAAGGCCACTTTATCATCCAGCAAGTGTAGGATGTATGGTGTACAGAGAGGACATGTACTACATGTGTCTGCACTTTGTGCTCTTCAAATATTTACACAGGACTGATTCTACTACATGGTTCTGGGTGGAAAGCAGTTCAATACAGAAGAAAGACTGAGGAGATTTATGTCTCAGGTACTTCAAGGCTAAAAAAGGCCTCCTAGAAAAATATTTGGGCTGGTCCAACTGGAGCCAAGGCAGAATGTGGCTCTCCAAACCTTTACCAAATACAAGACTCCTTGAGTCCTCATGCACACGGGATGTTTTGATAACGCTGGTAATGTTAGCTGTGTAAAGTCATGTTAAAAACTTGGTTTTTTTAGCTATTTTTGTGTTTTTGCATTAGCGTTTAGCAGCATTTTTCCACGTTTGGGTTTTTAGTGGTTTTTTTTGGGTCAAAAAAAGTCCAAAATGCCCTAAACCCCGCCTCGCCTCCTGGCTTCTGAAACCCATAAAGGGCCGGGAGGCACCGGTGCCAAGGGGTTAAAGAAAAAATTGCAACCCTTAAAATGGGACTCCTGCCAATACTGGTTTTATCTAGTTTTGGATGGAGTGAAGAAGGTTTGAAGCCCTGTCAATTTGTATTGCTCTTTGTGCCCCAGTTGAGGGAAAAATAACCTCATTATTTGTCCTGCTGTTCATGGGAGAGAAAGTAAAATGCATTTTTGCCTAAGTAGACAAGATCCTTGCACTGGCTCTGGGTAGGGCCTGCAGTGTGGGTTTGCTCCTTGCTGCCTGTCAACTTAGCAAACATTAAAAGTCCCATCCCAGAGATGGGATTTAGTACAGTATAAAATTTCTTTTTGGGATTTGGTGCCATTGGTTGCCCTATTTTTAACATTTTAAGGTTGTCACCAGAGCAGGAGTAGAAGGTATTTTTACTTGGAGGGAAACAACTGTCAGGAATGGGATTTCCCCTAATTTTAGCAAGATTTTTACTTGTTTGTGTCTCTGGGCACAGGAATGTCAGGAAAATATTTACAATGGGGACACAATGAGCAATAAAAACTGATAGAGGTTCTTACCCTTTTTGCAGTATCCAAAACCAAAAAATTGATTCATAAATATTTGCTGAAGTCACCAAAGGTAATCTGATTAATTCTTCTCTTTCTCTGTGTCCCCGCTAGAGAGATTCTACTTTCTGTATGCTCATCAGGACAGGATATGGGGGGAAATCTCTTCAACAGGGACACAGACAGGGATGAAAAGCTTGTAAATACGAGTTAAATTACGAGAGCATCCAGTATAGGGAATGGTCCATATAAGAGTTTTATTTATCACAATAAAAGGTGCTATCAAGAGTTGATATCCAACACGTTTACGGGTTTTAAGCACACATTCCCTTCATCAGGGCTTAGATCTATTGTGCAAGAGGAATCTTGACGAGTTACGTTATTTGGATGGCAATATTTTACATGCATTTAAACAGAAAATTAAACCTTAGTTTGGCCAAATCTTAACAATATTTCAAATCAAAGTCATCTGAAACCTACACGGGTCCTGCAGCAGAAATATGATCAACGTTACCTGTGGCAATATTTGCTCCAGCAATTCTGGCTCGAATTAATCCATGCCTTTCCTTTAAATGGAGAACCTGTACTTTGGGATATTGCTTCAGGTAGTCATCCAGGTTTTCTTTGAGGTAAGCTAAGAAAGTCAAGAAACAGGAGAGAAGTAAAATAAATCGGGATCTTACAGGAGATACAACAAAGAATATTCAGCCTCATTCATCATTTGTCCTAAAGTGTAGGGCAGCTTTGGTACAATTACAGTTCTACAGTACCTTATCCCACCCTCAGCTACCCCTGTGAATCTCATATTTACCTCTTTGCGATCCAGTAAAATATTACCCATGAATTGAGAGAGCTGACAGCATATTCTGGACAGGGCTTGTGCATGCGCTGTACACTTTCCATTCAATTCTCTGGAGGGTTGATACATTGCTGTGAGCAATAACTTGCTACATCAGAAACAGGGGAGCATATGACTTGCAGGGAGGGAGGGGTTGGCGGATGTGCAGTTACACTTTATAGTAATACTAAAGACAAAATGTTTACTTTTTAAAAAAAATAAATATGTCATACTTACCTGCTTTGTGCAATGGTTTTGCACAGAGCAGTGCCGATCCTCCTCTTTTTCGGTCCTCCACCAGTGTTCCAGGCTCCTCCCACCTGCTGAGTGCCTCCATAGCAAGCTGCTTGCTATGGGGGCTCTTGTGCAGGCTTGCTCCTGAGCCCCG